ATATTTGATAATGATGCTGTCTGTAGTTAGGATGACAAAAAGTTGGCTGCTCTGCCTCAGCGGTCTTAACAGCACTTATTAGTGTCACAATGACTGAGACGTCCAATCAAATCAAAGAAGATGGATTGTTACTGTTCACAGAAGCCGAAGATTAATTCTAACACAACGTTTCAGATTTTAACGTTTAGTGAAGATGTTAAGTGTGAGGTAAGATGTAAGTAGCTAAATATTTAATATCTGACAACTGTTAAACAACCAATATCCTGTGATGCAAATTATTAGACTTTTTTGACAAATTTTGCTGTTTTGAATTGAACATGTTGGATTATATTGGATGTAATTCATAACTGAATGGGACACTGTTTTTTGTTGTTTTGTGTTTTCAAAAAATAATGCACACATTTACTCTTATTCATATTTTAAATTACAAACTTTAGTTCAAAATTGTTCAAATTGATTATAAAAAGTCTTGTTCTTTTACTGTTCTTCCTTCTTTTTCTTTATTCCCTTAAATCTAAAAATGTAAGAAAATTGAAAAACAAAAAGCCCCCCCAACCCCCAATGTTCAAAACATAGTTATGCCCTTGTTACACCTTTATCAGGTTTTTTTTTTTTTTTTACTATTTTCAGTAGCAGTCCAGTCGATATTGGATATTTATTTGTGCATGCTTTCCGTTATTTTTACCTTCAGATTACATTTGCCATAATCTAAAACTCACTTAATGTTATTATTTGAAAATATTAATAATATTAATAATAATTTAATAACACGAAATGGTTAAATGTAACCATTAGCAAATCTCAGAATTAATATATTTTTTCACACTTTATATTATAATTGGGATGCTTAAATTCACTTGTAGCATTTAAAACAAAATCTTGTCATTTTTAGTGTTTTAGATTTAATTTATTTGGACTATATAGTGTAGAATTTTAATATAATTTACTAGCCATATCATAAAATTAATTATCAGCATACCATATCTGCCAGAACTTTAGTATTGTGGCATTCTTACCAATTACTATTAATTAATGTTTTTTTTTTCTTTTTTGTACTCACATGGAAGTTTCTCATGTGCTAAAATGTTCTTGTGCCCACACAATAGTCTCAGTGCTTTTTTTCATGCTAATGTCACTTAGCATGCAGGGTCTTCATAACAAGAACTTTTTTAGCACTTAATTACATTTTCAGATGTAACAAGGTCGTTTTTAGACAAGATGAACTGCAGTTCAAACTTGTGTATCAAGCTTCAGGAGACGAATCAAATAATTTAGATTTTTTTTTCCATGAACCATTTCAATACTACTGGCTGTAGGCAATAGATGCTAAATAGGAAAGTTGTTCCAGAACCAACAAAGGATGTTGATCTCCTGTTGGGGTAAATTACATTGTGTCTCACAATAATCTCAGATCTTGGTGAAGTGTGAATTATTTTCAGTGTTAAAATGCTTTCTTTTCCAGCAATAAATAATTCATTCATAGATAGATTTTCCCTGAAATTGGTAAACACTGTGGGGCTTTCAAAACACTGCTGAAATTACACACTTCACCTTTAGACGCTAGGCTACAACAACCTTCGAGAGAGAGAAGTGGCTTAGAAAGTAAGAAAAAGAAAAGAAAGTTGATTGGGAAAGGCACAGAGGCAGGCAGAGCGAGTGACTCAGAGACTGTCAGACAGAGAGAACAGTGACAGAGGACATAAGAGGAGTGTTCAATGAGTTCACACAGGTAAAGAGAATAAAAGGCTGTTGTACAGTGTAGAGCTGTTCTCAGGTTTGAAGACCTTGAGCTCTCTCTCTGTCTGTCTGTCTCTCCATGGCCCTTTCTGCTCTTCTCTGATCCAGAATAAGGCTGGAGTGGCTGAAAATAGGTGAGTTGTGATGTCACTACATGAAGAAGGCTGAACTCATGAATATTAATTAACTTGTGCTGGTGTTGCTGATGTTTAACATTGATGATTTGCCAGATGCAATATTAAACCAATTTGTACTTATCACATTCCATAATTAATTGATAATTAATCAGAACTGAAATGTCAGTCATTTAACACCATACAGTGGGTATAGAAAAGAATCACCCTCCTTTAAAATAATCACATTTTGTTGCTTTGGAGCCTGAAATGAAGACGGAAACATTTTTTGTTTTATCCAGCTGTATTTACTCAGTGCAACTTATAACATCCAAGTGAAAGATATAACACCAACATGTCAGAAAAATTAAAAAAAAAAACAGAATCACTGAGTTGGAAAAAGGATCACCCCTCTCCTAAAAATGACTTGTAAACTCAATCAGGTGTAGCTAATCACCTTCTCAATGGCACACAAAGCCATTTGACTTTCAGCTGTGATCAGCTGTGGTCATCTTGATTAGCTCAGCATGAAAAGAGCTTTCCCAGAGGCATTCCAGTCCCTGGTAGTGCAACTGAAGCAAACAATCAACTATGGGTGGCAAGGCACTCTCAAAAGATCTCCGGGATAAAGTTGTGGACAGGTACAAGTCAGGAGATGGAGACAAAAAAAAATTCAAAGGCTTTATCAATGCCTAGAAGCACAGTGAAGTCTATTATTAAGAAGTGGGAGGTATTTGGTACAACACAGATCCTCCCTGGATCAGGATGTCGCTCCAAACTGGATGAAAGAGCCAGGAGGAAACTGGGCTTGTATGGGAGGGTTGCAAGAAAAAAAGCCACTCCTCAAGAAATGCCACATGCAGTCATGACTGAACTTTGCCAAATGCACCTTCAAGATTCTGAGGCAGATGAGACTAAAATTGAATTATTTGGCCTCAACAGCAAACGAAAATGGATGGAAATCCAATACAGCTCACCATCCAAATAACAGCATTCCTACAGTAAAGCATGGAGGTGGTAATATCCTGTTATGGGGTGTTTCTCTGCAGCAGGGACTGGAGCATTTGTAATTAAAGCAAAAGGTGGTTCAACAAAATACTGACACAAGGGGGTGATCCTTTTTCCATTTCAGTTATTCCGTTTTAAATTTTTTTCTGACATGTTGGTGTTATATCTTTCACTTGGATGTTATAAGTTGCACTAAGTAAATATAGCTGGATGAAACAAAAACTGTGTCCATCTTCATTTCAGGCTGCAAAGCAACAAAAATGTGATTATTTTAAAGGGGGGTGATTCTTTTCTATACCCACTGTATGTGTGTGTACATTTTATTTAATGTGTGTGTGTGTGTGTGTGTGTGTGTTTCTATTATTAATTTATAATTAATCAAATTAAAATTTTATATAAATATAATTGTTTCTATTTTACAAATCAAATATGTATTATTTATTTTCTACAATTAGAATGTGTGTTTCTAATATTAATTTAAAATTAATCAGAAGTGACATTTTATATACATTTACATTGCATACATAATTACTTTTTAATTTGTTCATTTCTGTTAAATGATATAATTAACAAATTAATTAGCAAATATATATGCTTTCATTAATGTGTGTCGCTCTGTGTGTATGTATATAAAAACATATTTTTTTGTTAAATTCAGGTGCTAAACAATAGCAAATCATCATAAATTAGATATATATGATATAAGCTGACTAAGTTTGGTTGAGTTGGCTAAAGATGGGGGTCGGCCTTCAGTTCCGTTGCTCCTGCTCAGAATAATCTCTTCTCACTCATCTATACCCCACAGCCATGATGATCTGGATATTTGGATTCTTGTGCGTGCACTTGTTTAGGTTTAATCCACTTACTATTGATCCAGCAAGCTTTGATTTCTACAAGGACCCCCATAGCTTATTTCAAACTTTAAATGAAATCCTTCGCTTGATCAATAACAATGGCAAATGGAATAAAATGTGGCCTTCGGCCCTGTTTTAATTACATGTTTGCGAGTACAGTGGTATCTCCATTGCAACGTGTAATTGGACACACTGGTAGACCTGAACGTATAGAACGTGCCATTTGGTTTGTGTATGTATATATAAGTGTAGTCTGGAGAGTTTGAATAAACACAAGAAAGCATGAAAATAAGTCTCTCTTTGTCTTGTGCGGCACACAACTATAGGTGTGGTTGAGGATGAAATAACTAATTAGTGCCACAAGTTAATTCGATCGTACAGGTAGCATTGGCAAGATCATGTACAGCCCCAAAGGAGCAGTGAGAGTTTGTGTGCATTAAGAGAGAGTGTGGAGTGTACGGAGAAAGAAAAAGAGCAGCTGCCCCTCTGAACATGAAGTCAGGGCACTTTTTTTCCCCTGAAGCATTCCAGCTGTGACAAGACCATGTTCCCACTGGCCACACACTTTCGAGTTGTGAGGGGTTGCAAAAGGGAACTCTGTGCCTCTACGGCATTGAGCCCTCTTGACTCATGACTGAGCGTTTGTCTCACAGCAGTGCGCTCTGTTTCATGCCGTACTTCAGATTTGAAATAATGCACCTCACCTCTGTGTGTTTACAATCTGTCATGGTGGCGTAGTTCCACTTAAAATGAGTCTACAGAAGGACAATTTTTAAATCTGGATGTTTATAGTGACAGGAGAAGAAATATTGTGAATGTTACCATGTAGAGCGTCTTTCAGTGGAATTCAATGGAGCATAAAGTTTTCAAATCTTTTCAGCCCTAGTCGATCTGACAGTGGCTGGTAAACATGCCCTGACAGTATATCACTGTTTTCCTCATAGGGAGGTCTGTAGCAGAGGCTTCACTACAGATCAGTCTGAACTGCAAATCACAGAGGAGACTAGAAAAGGGTTTATGGCCAGTGAATCAACAAACACGTTTGAGTGTGTGGGAGAGAAGAGAAAGACCCCATGCATAACCCTTTATGTATTTTTATTAAATGCATTTTATGGAAACCCGTTTCAGTCTTAGAGTAAAAAATATACTTTTTATCTCACAATTTGCATTTTTATTTCTTGTAATTGTAACCTCATATTTTATAATGTGACTTTATATCAGTTGCAAATTATATCTCACAGTTGCAACTTTACATCTGACAGTGTGACTTTATTTTTTCAAAATTTGACTTTATATTTCACAGTTGTGATGTTATATCTCACAATTTGACTTTATATATCTCACAATTTAATTTTATATCTCACAATGTGACTTGTTTTAAACTTGATCTCAGGGACCTGTTTTATTTTTATTTTGAGGCAGAAATAAGCTTCCATACTATTTTTGTGTCATTGTTTTTTAGATTTATTTTGCTTAGTATGTGGTATTGGCTTTAATGACACCATGTACTTGAGCTGACATGGACTGATGATCATGAAAATGACTGATTTGAAAATGATTGAGCATTTTGTGCTTCAGTGGAAGCAGTAACATCTTGGCATAACATGGTTAAAGTCTAGAAATTGATTAATATACACTAGTGTTCAAAAGTTTGGGATCTGTAATATTTTTTAATGTTTTGCAAAGAAGTTCTCTTATGCTTACCAATATATATATATATACATGTATTATATAAAATTACAGTAAAAGCTGTAATATTGTTAAATGTGTAGGCAATTTAAAATAACTTTTCTATTTGAGTATATTTTAAAATGTAATTTATTCTTTTAATTTTATTACTGTGATGGCAAAGCTGAATTTCCAGCAGTCATTACTCCAGTCTTCAGTGTCACATGATCGTTAAGGAATCATTCTAATATGCTGATTTGGTGCTAAATTTTTTTATTATTATTATTATTATAAATGTTAAAAACACTTAAGCATTTATTTATAATAGAAATGTTTGTTACAGTCTTTACTGTCAAGTTTGATTAATACAATGCATCTTTGCTGAATAAAAGTAAAAATAATTACTGACCTCAAACTAATTAATTTTATCTTGACGTTCAGAATCTTAAATAGTGTATTTTCTTAAATAGTGTTTTGTTTTACATTGTTTCCCATATGAGATGTTAAACGAAAAGTAAAATCAATTTGCAGTCATTGAATGGTGAAATGTAATTATCATTAAAGCTTAACAAGAATGAAACATCACCGATGAGTGAAACACGCCACTAATGAGAAAGCCAGCAGTGGTTTTATTCATTAATCAGGAAGTGAATGCCCTACATTTTGGAAAAGAGAAAAAAATCAGCAAATTCAAACTCGAGATCAATCATTTTAACGCCAAAAGGCATGATTCATTGTTTTAATAAACTGACAGCTTAGCAACAACTCTTCCCATAAATAACTCTCTGAATATAAGTGCGCTGAACAATGTTACAAGAAACACTGAAGCCGTAATAAGTATTTTTTTTTTTAGGTTAAACATGGTAAGACCACGCATGTACTGACAGCTCTGCAGTTTCCTCTGTAATTGAATATGTTGTGTAGTGCAAATGTTAATGAGGACCTGGTTAACTAGACACAGGGAACCCTGGTGTGAGAGTCTGGTATGACTGCAGGCTTCCGCAGCTGCTTCTGCTAGCACATGGTTTTATTTTGACAGCCGAAGCAGCAGCACTTCTCAAAGACTAAATTTTAAGTATATCACTGGGAGAAACTGTACTTCTTACCTCAAATCCACTAAGCCAGAAACGAGAAATTACATAACACCACAGAGACACATCAGAGCCTATGGGGACCTGCTAGAGTCGAGCAAGAACTGCCCTACTGCACTGCTGTTCAGTCAAACTGTGGGAGGATCTATCTGTGCTCGTTTGTTAAATGATCAAGGGAAGATTCGCTCTTGAGGGTGTTACATGTTCAAAAGGCTGTTAAACCGCGTGTATAACCTGTGTAGCTCACCTCAGAAACAGTCGTGCACTAGTAGCGCATTTTCTCACTTGTTTTCCAGCAGGTTGGACAGTTGCACAATGTTGACTGTTTTTTTGTTTAAACCTTAAAATTTAATTTAGAAAGAGGCTGTAAACAAGGCACGTTGTTTCAGCTGGAAGCAGCTTTCAGAAACCCAACACCACAGTTAACTTACCCCCCTGTGAGCGCCATCCGCAAGTCCCTCTCGCTGTAAGTCACAAAACAGTTATCTCCTCAAATCTCACAATACATACATACACAGAGCTCAGTCTGGCCAAATTTTCTCATCCCTTGATGGTAGCTTCCATAAGAAAGTGTAAAGCAACCTGCTTTAGAATAAAGCCACACCTGAACCGGCTTTTTTTCCCCATTGAGAGCCCATCAGTTTCTTGTGTATCTACCATAGACAGGCTTGCTTCTATTTATTGCTACAATTACAGCTTTTAGTGTCCAGCTCAACAGCAATGCCATTCAATTACACTAATATGAAGATGATTGCAGACACATTAATGAATTTCCAGCCTGGTGCGGGATAGGTAGTGGAATAATTACTCATTTCTGCACTACAGTAAACCTGTTTTTTGTAGTCTCAGGGATAAAAAACAGCCCAAATGATTTGTTTGCGAGTGTATCCACCGCTGGGACTATTTAGATCCGCCATCTGTAAGACACCTGTGGCGTGTGGATAGATTAACCATGGTGCTTTCACACTTAGTTTCTCGCTGATAAAAGACTGTTAAGTTGCTGCTGACCACTGATTGTCAAAGTACCTCCAGGAGAGATAATTGGATTTGACTATTGTGTACAGAATCGGCTCCTGAGTTCTGTTCCAGCGGTTATTGGATTTTCAGAGTGTGCCAAAATGCTTAGGAGACAGAAAATCAAGCATTTTGTTTGGATCAAGCCAATCAACTGTAAAAGCCTTTAAAATGTCTTTAACCTGAATATTTACTTGCTGGAATTGAATGATATAGGTTTCATTGTCTTGATGTTGCCTGTGTGTTTTTATAGGGAAGAAGACCGGGGTATTTCTCCTTTTTGGATCCGTTCTCTCCTGGGGTTTGGCTTTTCATGTTGCTGGCATACCTGGCAGTCAGCTGCGTGCTCTTTTTGGTGGCGAGGTAAATATTCAGCTCCATACTGACACCTGCTGGATCTTATCATTAAAGGGGTAGTGCAGCTAAAAATGGAAGAAAGTCTCTCATAATTTACTTATCTTCTTGTCACTCCAAACCTGTGTGACTTTTTGAAGCAACATTTTAAAGAACATTTACTCCATTGTCTTCCATACAATGAAAGTGGAAAGCTCCAAAATGGATAAAAAGGTCCATAAAAGCAAAATAAGAGTTGTATATCTTGAATCTTGCATTATATTCTAGGTCTTCTGAAGTCATACAGTAGCTTTATTTCTAAAAACAGAATTCTTTTTTTTTTTAATTTGTAATTCACAAAAAGTCTTAGGCTACTTTACTGCTCTGGTCAACATTCGCTTTCATTGTATGGAAACGAGTAGCTTGGACATTCAGCTAAACTTCTCCTTTAGTGTTTCATGAAAGAAAGAAAGTCATAGATTTCAAACGGTGTGTAAATTAAAACAAAATGTGACTGATTGATTGATTGACTGTTGCTTTAACACTAAACTAGACATTATACAGTATCTCTAAACAAAACCTCCTACTAAAGCCGGCGGGCAAATATTAGTTGATAGGAATTCTGGAACATTACTACTGTATGAACTTATCTTTGTGCTCTGATTTTAAAGGGAAGGTTTAGTGGTGAGGATTGTTAGTGCATAGGAGTGTTGCTGTTGCAGGATCAACATCCTTTGTTGGTCCTGAGAAACAGTCTAGACCTTAAACCTAACACTGAATCCCTGTTTTGTCAGAATGCTGTTCTAGGACCAGCATGGCTGTATCTGTAGACATTTCATTTTAAACTCACTTTTTATTCCAGCTTTGCATTGAATCAAAAAAGAAATGTCATGTTTTATACTCTTTCACAGTGGCCTGCTGATTTTCCAGCATTCTGCAGGACAATGTGTTGTGTGTTTTTATTCACTAAACATTACCTGTCAAGACATTTTATATAAATTCATAGTTGGAGCTTTTGTCTATGCATGTGTTTTTCTTTGTTTGCCTCTCTATAATGTGTATATTTTTTACACATTTGTTATTGAAATACGACCTGTGTTTTCTTTTCTGCATTGCTTGTGTTCAGCATTTCAACAGTAATGTGGGGTTGTCGCACACTTTGAAGAGTAACTCAGCAGCGTCCTGCAGTGCAGTGCATTTTTATTAGTGTCCTGTCAGTCACGGCTAAAGCTTGCACAGCCCCTTCAGGGAACAAAAACCAGGTTACGTGGCCAACAGGGAGCACTGGTGACTTCATGCTTTGCCAACTGTTAAAATTGTTCCTGGCTCATTTATGTTTACTACTTTTTATCATTTCTTTTTTTTCTCGCTCCTCTTGGCACACAGGCTAACACCTTATGAATGGTACAACCCTCACCCCTGCCTGAAGGAGCGCTGTAGCCTGCTCATTAACCAGTATTCTCTGGGCAACAGTTTCTGGTTTCCTGTGGGCGGTTTCATGCAGCAAGGCTCCACCATCGCCCCAAGAGCCCTGTCCACACGCTGCGTCAGTGGAGTATGGTAAGAGTGCATGCTAAATATTGTCTCCATTGTAAAAGGAACTGCATTGATGGTCACCAGCATATGTTGTGTTTGGATGATGGTCTCCAGGATGCGATTTATAAGGAATGTACAGAATGTCAGGGAATTTATTGATATTTTCTTATAAATTTTGTATGTAAGTCTCAGAAATGTACATTTTTGTTGGTCATAGGTCTTGTCTTCATAAAGGACGTCAAAAAGGCCATGTATAGAATCATGGTATTTTTGTCTTAAATTTTATGTCAATAATAATATTTAATCCCTGACATTCTTTGGATTACTAGAATATTTCGTTTGTGATTGTCAATTTCATATTTTGTGTTGCAAAAAGACTATATTATATTTGTAAAAATGGTCAATATATTAATACAGGATTTTGACCATAATGAATATGTCTAAACTTTTTGAATGGTTCTGGTCTCATTTAAAAGGCATCCATGTAAAATCTGCCCAAAAGCCATGGAAAACTTTTGTTGTGAAATAAGATGGCCCAAGGATCATACCAAAATAGTCTGCAAAAATTGCCAGGAAATTAAAATTTCACTCATAAACTTATTAGTTATACATATACATTTGGCAAATTATTTTATCCAAAGTGGCATTACGTTACAATCAAGGTATAAACCAAGCTTTTTTGTTTTATCTACAAGAATGCTTATTGAATTTGAAGTGAACAAATGATTGAAGTATTTACACATTTGTATATAATAAAATTCTTTAAAAAAAAATGTAATCCAATACCGATCACTTTCCCTTCTTTATGCATTCAATTTGGATATAGGTCTTTAATTTTAGGGTCAACTAGCTTAACCAACAAGACCTCTCTGAAAACCTGTTAGATTTTGCCTGCCTAAGCTGGTTTACCAGCTCGACCAGCACCCAAACCAGCATTACCCAGCCAGTCGAAGATGTTCTTTTCAGCAGAGTTTCACATTCTGCTACACCCTGATCTCATTGTCAGTTGCTGGATACAGCAGATAAAAGTGCTACTCTCATTTGGCCTCTGTTTTTCTGCTGCGTTATTGTACTGTCATTTTTCGAGGCCTCGCAGACTGCAGCACGCCGAGGTCAGTGGAGAATAAAAGCGAGCTATTTTTGAGTATTCTGAAAGGGCGTACAGTATTCAGAGGAGCCTTTCAACTTCTCATTCGGATGCGGCGCTCACAGTAGTGCCGAGCTCTTTTGATGTTAGGTCAGAGCTTTGCGTTCCTCGCGTCTAAAACTGGTTTGTCATTCCAGGTGGGCCTTCACCTTGATCATCATCTCTTCCTACACAGCCAACTTGGCGGCCTTTCTCACTGTGCAGAGGATGGAGGTGCCCATTGAGTCCGTGGACGATTTGGCTGACCAAACAGCCATCGAATACGGCACCATGCACGGCGGGTCCACCATGACCTTCTTCCAGGTGAGATCTCCAAGGACAAAATGGAAGGGAACTCCACCCACAAATCAATGGCCTGTTGGCAGGTTTATTGACCATGTCACTAGCACTCTTCCCTACTTTGGGATTTATCTGTTTGCTGTCTTAATATCAATGCCCTTCGATATCTTGCCCTCTCCAGAGGGCCGCCCAGACTAATTCAAACTCTTTGATGTGTCGGAGGGACGTTTCTCGACCCGCCCCTCAGCGAGCACAGACTGTTTCACATATTCAGTTGTCACATCAATATGTCAAACTGTCAGCTTATCAACCACCAAGTCCTTGGTTAACACAATCAGTCTCGCCTCCTCACAGCTCTAGTGATTGGCTGTCAGGACACCAGGCGAAAGTTGAGGAGCAAACGTAATGATCCTAATATCTCCTGTTTTCCGGTTAGAACTCTCGCTACCAGACGTACCAGCGCATGTGGAACTTCATGTACTCCAAGCAGCCCAACGTGTTTGTGAAGAGTACTGAGGAGGGCATCGCCCGAGTGCTCAACTCTAATTACGCCTACCTGCTGGAGAGCACCATGAACGAGTACTACCGCCAGCGCAACTGCAACCTCACCCAGATCGGAGGCCTGCTGGACACCAAGGGCTATGGTATTGGCATGCCTCTCGGTGAGAAAGAGTTCCTGTTAGAGAGAGAACAATGAATAGAGGTTTATGTGGAGTAAGCAGGACTTTTATTGATTGAAATGCAACCAGAGTGCAAAAAGATCTGCATAGAAATGTAGCAGGGAATCTCGCACACTATGGAAAACTGAAAGTTTTTTTTTTTTATGGTGGTTGCTAGTCGGATTGTATGATGTGATCTCAGTGAGATCGTGGGTTGAAGCCAAGGCAGACTGTGCAACGTCAACTGCCATTTATGCTACTGAATGATAAACAACTTTGGTCACGTTTGACAGTGTTGACTGGTAGATCAATCGTGTCACAATCTGACATACTCATTAACATGCTTAATGGTACACACATTCAAGCAAACCCTCGCACTAATGTTTGTTCTACCTGAAAGAAAATAAAATGTCTAAAGTGTGTGTAGGCAAAAAAAGAGAATTGAACTTCTTTTTTTCAAAGTAAACCTGATGTAGTATAATCATAACATAAAGGAAATGCTAAATTACTTTTATAATATTTAAAGGGATAGTTCACCCAAAAATGAAAATTCTCCCATGATTTACTTACCCTCAAGCCATCCTAGGTGTAAATGATTTTCTTCTTTCAGACGAATACATTCGGAGTTATTTTCGGCTGAACTATCCCTTTAAATGAATTATTGTTTTATTATTTATATATCAAAAATATTAATAGGAAATATTTTGTAACATTATAAATGTATTTACTGTAATTTCTGATCATTTTAATGCATCCTTGCTGTATTGATGTATTGATTTCTTTTTTTAAATCCTGAACTTTTGAACATTAGTTTAAATATTTTGAATTATAAATAATAATTATTTTAATTTTATTTTATTTATTTTTTGCTGCATGCCATATAGACAGTGTTGGGAGTAACGCATTACAAAAGTAATAATATTACAGTAGTATATTACTTTTTGCTGTAACGCAGTAATATAACGCATTACTAATCAAATTTGGGTAATATTATTACTCGTTACAATCTCGACCACTGTTAAATACAGTACTCTTGCACACACGTCATCAGTTGCTTTGTTCTTATTGGTTGTTTATTAGACGCAGTAGCAGTCACACTTCTCAACTGCGACCTAAAATTTCGGACACTGTCAGAACTTCGTCTGATGCATTGACTAATTGGCTATCAGTGAAAATATTACAGTAAGCTATCCAAGACTGCCAGTCTTGTCCCATAATGATAGAAGTCTTTTATGTCTCAGATGGCAAAATTTTTGCCAAAATTGCACAGTGCGCACCAGGCTTTCATCTGATAATTGAAGTTAAATGAATCCATTGACTGAATATAAATTGCACTGAATTGATTTGAACCAAGCTATGTCCAGCAGATGTTTTAATCAACATGATTAATGGCAGGGTTTAGTTTACAATAAGCTAAACAAACACCATAAGAGCAGCAGGAGTCAGCACAGCAGAAAATATATATCCAGCTCTGGCTTTTCACATCTCTAAGATGGATATTTTGTTTTAGGCTCAGTCTACAGAGATGAGTTTGACCTGGCCATACTCAAGCTACAGGAGGAAAACCGCTTAGAGATCCTGAAGAGGAAATGGTGGGATGGTGGCAAGTGTCCGAAAGAGGAGGATCATCGAGCGAAAGGTGAACCACCTGTCACTCAACTGCAGGTCCAAACAGAATCTTTTACGAAACTTTTATCATGTTGTGTGTTTTTGTGTAGGTCTGGGCATGGAGAACATCGGTGGGATCTTCGTGGTGCTTGTGTGTGGTCTTCTGGTGGCCATCTTTATGGCGGTGCTGGAGTTTGTGTGGATGCTACATCATACGCCAGGAACAGAGGTGAGAGAGGGCTATTTTACCTGCCTCTGCTTTCTGTCCTTCTCCCCGCCCTCGTGCCTCCCTCCCTGAACCCCCCCACACCCCATCCCACACCTCACAACCAGCACACCAAAGAATATACCTCAAACTGATCTACACAGGCCATCACACGCTAAAGGTGCCAGACACTTTTAGATTTTATGCTTTTTAAAATTTGAATGGAATGAAGTTCCTTCTGTTTTGTCTTTTTTTTCCTCCCTCAAGCATATTGATAGTTGTGTGACTGCATTGTTTCAAAAGAAACACTGTGAATTTTCTTACTAAATAAACACTTCAGCATGTTTCAGCAGAACCCCAAGACGTGACTTTTTTTTAAGGGTGCAAATGCATGCTGTTTGTTTATAATGTCTTCATGACTAGTTGTGATTGCCCATATTCATAGAGCATTGTGGGTAAATATACCTATATGTATATGTATGTGTGTGTGTGTGTGTGCGAAGTGAGAATGGACTAAATGCTAATTGAAGACTGGTCGGGAATATGGGTGTTTGTGTGATTGTGTTTGTATTGTATGTCTCAACATCAAGTCAAAATGACTAGTGCAGTGCAGTTTAACCCATTTTTTGATGAGTAGACTGAATATTTGCATTATGCCTAAGGGAAATGTAGCTTTGTGTGTTAGCATTAGGTAATGCTAATAGTGTGTCCATGTTTGTTTATGTGTGTGTGAGGTACATTTGCATGTAAGTGTATACTCAACACCTTAAACTGCACTGGCATGGCTCGTCATCCAATAGGTAACAACTTTCTGTTCTGTATAACTGGTGTACATATCTTTATGTATACTATATCACATTGGTTCAACACCAAGATGGCCACATTACAGCTCCTAGAATCACGTCATTGTTTGTATGCAGTGCCTTTTCAACCTCAAGACATGTTGACAAAAAATTGGATTGATCAGATTTTTTTTTTAAATTACAATAATTTCAGCAGTATATTTGATATAGACCTTAGTCAAGGTAGCACCATATTTAATTTTTGACAATTTCAGTTGTGAAATGTATGTTAACTAGGACCTTTATACAGTGCGTGCCATTGTAAAGACTGCAAGTCTATCCCTCGCAGCCTCATTTTCATTGAATATGGTGTCTAACCTGACTAAGGTCTAATGTTCAGAAAAAAGCACTGGTTGATCTTCAGCAGCTGAGTTCTGGATTTTATCAGCGAATTTAAAATGAATGCTAATGGGATGTGACAGAAAATTTCTTTTAGTTATAGCTTATATTCTTTACATGTCACACAAAACCTTAAGTGTAGGTGCTGGTCAAAAATCCAGTAATCTCAATAAGAATCCACGCAATCTGAAATTTTGCATGAGGGTGAAAGATTTCCTCATGCAGATTTTGCAACAGGCTCAAGTTGGTCATACGCATTCACTGTTGACCAACAGAAAGCTGCTTGGTTTGAAAGTGACTTCTGTGTCAGCTGTGCTTCACACAATGTTACACTAATGACAATGGACAATCGTTTTGTGACCTCATCTTAACATACTGGAACTAAACAGGGCATAAATTCAGAGGTTCAATTCTCAATGATATAGTGCTGGGGACTGAGGAAATTTTGTGTAACGGTAGAATAAGTGGTTTAGTTTGAGTGGATATGCATAGTATTTCCCTTCAAATTTGATGTCACCGTATGGAATTAAGGTTGGTAAAACACTACTGAGGACAGAAGAAAAATACTACTGTTAAACAACCATTAAGAGAAATGAACGATTCAAAGCAAAGATGATTTATTTAACAGTCCTTAATTAAAACTTTATTTTTGTAATACTGTGCGATAATATTCCATGTATGACAGAATTCCATTAAGATTACAAATAGCACCAGAGGACATGAGAAAATGTGCCAACTCTGTTCGTAAAGTGATTAAAAATATACTGTATATGCATTCAAATAATCAGATTATTTTATGTAAACATTCATCAAATCCTTTCGGGAGCAATTTGAGCCCAATTTTTCAAAGCAAAAGGCACTGCATACAAAGAATGACCCAAACACAGTAGCTCCACTCACTTGTCACATTTTTTTACTTTTTTCTTTTTTTTTTTGTAATGCAAATCTAACAGAATACATTTAAAGAAGTGAACTTGTTGAGAATGTAATGAACACACACCAAGATCACCAAGCGCTTCAGGACATTTTCTCTGATTTCTCTGCGGTGCATCAGTCAGATAAACAGCCACCGCCCCCTGTATAGCCCAGTGTTATTTTTGATCAATGCTCTGGCTGTGCTGCCTGCTACCCCCTGTGAGCAGTGTGTCAGCGAGACCCCCTGGCCTCTCTTTCTCTCTCTTTCTCTCCCTCTGTCTCCGTGTCTGTGCCTCACAGCTGTCCATGTGCGAGGAGATGCTACGAGAGCTGCAGGGCATCGTGCTGTGTCAGGACAGCCTGCAGTTACGGCGCAGACGTGGAGCCAGTGTGTTGCGACCGCAGCCTCTGCCCCTGGACGAGCGACGGGTGCGGGCGGCGGCAACGAACCTCAGCAATGGCAAGCTGTGTACAGGCACCGGCCTGCCCGAACCCCTCTCCCACAGACTGGCGCAGGAGGCCACCCTGGTGGCACGAGGGTGCAGTCACATTCGCATCTGCCCAGAGTGCCGGCGCTTCCAGGGCATTCGAGTGCGCCCGGCCGGCCCTCCAGGAGCATCGCCCACCCACAGCGAGGGGAGTATAGAATGGGAGAAGGGCACCAACAACAGTGAACACGAATAACCTCTCTGATCTGTGTCAGATAGACGTTAAACCTACGGCTTTGCTGGACCCAGAGATTATGGGAACATAGACTCCGGAGAAGGAGCTAAAGGAGAAGCTGTCCATGCTGCTCGATTCAGCCCAGGAGCTGCGACTGGTTTCTGTACACTGTCCTGGCGGCCCTCTGCCTTCGGGGGACACAGCAGAGGGGCTTTGTACTATGCAGTATATTTGTCTAAATGTGCTGTTGATTTATTTTTAAATTATTCCTCTTTTGTTGTGATACCACTATATTGCTATTATCTCCTTCTCACGACACCTGTTTAGTTTCGTTTTTCACACCGTAGATGGCAGACGGCTGCAGACTCGATCAACTAAGCGCAACCTTTTTTAGAGTGCCAAAATACTTTGTATTAATTTTGTGCTGTTGCCGTCTCATTCCAGCCCCTGAAGGAGTAACTATTAAGGGAACTGAACACAAAAACAACTACGATCTGTTTTTATTAATAGTTATATTCTATTAAAAAGGTTTTTGGGATGTTTCTGAATGTTTGATGTGCATGTACGAGGGTTTTAGATGCTACTGAATGGAGAAGAACATGAGAATTTTTTTTTCTGGTTAAAGACATACTTCCTATACTTTAAATTTTTTTGAGTTTTGATTCATTTTGTTGCACTCCTGGGATATGAAAATTGCACATAGTTGTGGAAAAATGGAAGATTATGCTCCCATTTAGGAAATTTGCATTGGGAAACTAACTAGGATTTATGCCAATTTCCATTGACCCTTAATTTTGCCATTCCAGCAGGGCACTTGGAGATATCAGATGTGTTCACTTTCAAAAAACATGTCAAGAAAGTGAGATCTGAGGTGATTTTGTTTACATTCATCTGTACCACTCAATACATGATGAAATCCACTACCGACAGGGTCACTCCATCTAGACATATCTGTGTGTTGAGACATTGGAGATCGTAGGCATATACATTCAGGCATTTCTTTATATTACATAACATCTCATAATGTTTCAAGTTTAATGTTTATTTTCTTTTTGAAACCAGAAGCATTCATTTGTTCATGTGAAGTCTTGGATTCATACTTCTGTTCTTCAAAAAAAAAAAAAGCAGAATTTGGATACCAAAATGAAATTATTTTATTAGGCATGATGTTACCCTCAACTTGCAGTGCCAAATTGTAATAAATTGCCTTCACGTTTTGGAGAGCCATTAGAAGTTACTTGCTACTCCTATTGATTTTTTTTCTGCGCATTTCTATTGAACTGAATCCATTTCTACATGATATTTCAATACGGTGTTAGTGCCTGACGAAAATAAATGGCATTGTGTTCAGTTCTGTGAAAGGTTGGCTTTGATCTTGTAGGTTTTATCTCTTGGATCTGTCGGCCCTCTCTGTAGAAGTTTATTTTTCTATGTGCGCAAATACAGCTCCATTCATTTCCTATTGCAGGCTAGAATGGCTGTGCAGGTGGGTTTTCGCTGGATACACAGACCTGCAGACAACTCTATCTGGGCAACTTCAAGATGTGACACGATTTACTATGTGGCATCAGCTGCTCATCAGCTTTAGATTCACAGAGACACAAGCTGGTTTAAAGACTGTCAACAAACAAGCAAAAACATTTGGGAGACAGTTATTACTTGAAGAGACTGCTTACACTGGAAGGTTAAAACAAGTAGTTTAATATTAGCATTTACAATTTGGGTAAAAGTGAAGAAATATTGCCCAAAAAGGCACATACAGTAATTATTCAAATCTCATAAAAGTATTCAAAAGTCAGAAGAAATGTAGCATTGCACAAAAGTTATGAGCTTTCAATGTCATGGCTCAAGCACTTAGACATGACTAATTTATTCAATGAGCGAAAGTGACCAATATTAGGAGGTTAACAAGATAAAAAGAGTAGTATCTGGCTTGTCATGTGACCTCAAAATTGCTGTGTAAAAATCACATAGTTGTGGAAAAGTGGAAGAAGAAATTTGCATTAGGAAATTAACTAGAATTGATCATTTCCTTTGACCCTTTATTTTTTCCGTTCCAGCAGAGCACTTGGAGGTATCAAATGTGACCCTGGACCACAAAACCAGTCATAAGGGTCAAATGTATTTTTGGCTATTGCTACAAATATACCCCAGCGACTTAAGACTGGTTTTGTGGTCCAGGGGCACAAATGTGTTCGCTTTCAAAAAAAACGTCAGGAAAGTGAGATCTGAGGTGATTTTGTTCCTCTCAAGGTTTTACTTTCATCTGTACCACTCAATACATGATGAATTCCACTACCGACAGGGTCACTCCATCTAGACATATCTGTGTGGTGAGACACTGGAGATCATAGGGTTAGATTAGTATTTACAATTTCGGTAAAAGTAAAGAAATATTAGCAAAAAAATGCACATGCAGCAATTATTCAAATCTGTAACGATGAAGTATCATGAAAAATTGAAGAGCTTCTAATGCCATTGAAATGCTCTATTTGCACTCAAACATGACTGATTTATTCCATGAGCAAAAGTGATCAATAATAGGGGGGTTAACAAGATAAACCGTAGTATTCGGCTAATCGTGTGACCTCAAAAGGGCTGCCACCATGGGGCGACCCACTCCATGTAAAACAAAACATTATTAATATGACTCGAGTCCTCATCTCATGCGACAGTACATCATTTAAGCATGTTTTTTTTAAAGTGCTGTTCATTTGTCTGTGAAAAAAAAAATAATGAGGGGAAGTTACTGAGTAGGCTATACATGTTTGTGGTTGCATTTTTCATTTCTCTCTGAATACTTTATAAAAAATATTGTTCAATGAGAGCTTCCCACCCAGACTCATGAGAAAGCCTAACTATTTGAGGAGGTAGTGATGTCATTTGTACAGAAACATGATTTTTAGAAAAAAAAAAGTAAGCATGAAGGTCCATCCCTATGCATAACTGTCAGTGGTGTGTAAGCAGAATATATGAAAACATACATATGGAATTGTACCAATTCATACAAATTAGCCACCAATTCACCAAAATATAACATTGCCATGAAACTGTGTTGGAGCTTCTGTGTTTGCCTCAATCCTGTGTATTTTCAAACTGAAGAAATATCTCCAACATCTGCCAATGTCTAAATGATAGAAATCCATTTAAGTTCCAGGGTTCAAAAACTAAGTTGTCCAGCACAATGATGGTTTGATAGTAATGAGTGTGAATTGTTCAGAGACTGAAATGTCATGGCTGAAGACAGGACTTATTAGTGAGACATGCAAAGCTCACAGCCCAATCAGTCTGGATGCATTCCCGAGGGCAGGGCCTCTATCTCTCTCAGCATACTGCCCTTATCCAACCCATTTATTTCTTAATTCAGCTCTAACCTGTTTCCACAGTACGAAATTGTATCTCTAGCTTTAATTCCTTCAAGTGTCGCAACTGGTTTTTGTCAAACAGAAGGAAATTTGACTTTTTTGCTGATTTACACTTAATGACATCAGCAAACTTGGTATCATGTCTTGTACACAATTCAAGTACGCGTTGCATTTTCAGCGTTGCCAAATGGGGCGCTATCAGGGTTGCCAGGTTTACAGATTAAACCCACCCAATTGCTACTCAAAACTAGCCCAAAACTAGTCCAATCACGTTCCAGGGGGGTAAAATCCACGTAAAATACATGTTTAAGGCAGGGTTCCCCTGGTAAAGATCGTATTCCAGGGGATAAATATAACATTATTGGGATCGCTTCAACCAGCGGACATGAAAAATAACCGTGGCAACAGTGTCAAAGTAGCCCAATTCCACGGGAAAACCACGGACCTGGTAACACTGGGCACTATAAACCTTAAGGGAAGCGCCATATTTAATATTTGACTGAAATTAGTACTCTTGTTTAACATACCAGTTGTTCAGCTGATGAAATGTCTTTCAAGAAAAAAAAAAATTTTAGCAGACAAAAACTCTTAAAAAGAGTTTTGAAAGTTTGAAAATCAAGTGATATAGGACCATTATACAGTGCATGCTACACTCTAAAAATGCTGGGTTGTTTCAACCCAATTTTGGGTCAAATATGGACTAACCCAACTGTTGAGTTAAATTTTGGTTACATTTTTAAATTAACTTTTTAACCCAACAGTTGGGTTAGTCCATATTTGACCCAAAATTGGGTTGAAACAACCCAGCATTTTTTAGAGTGTATTGTAAAGACTTTAAGTCTATAGGTGTGTCCCAAATCATGTACTTATGCACTATTCTATGACGTTTTGTAGTATAAATAGTGCGAGTAGTGCGTTCACAGTTCACACTGAAAATTCCCAAAAGAAAAAAAACACTTTAAATACCCGGATGATGCACTTAAATAACAGAAAAAACGAAGTGTGGAATGGTGGATGCTTCATGCACATGCACTCAACTGCCGCAGCTTTAATTATGTAGTGAAGGGAAACGATTATCAGACTCCGATTATTAATGACAAAATAACCTTATATAATTCATACACTACATGGTTGAGTACATAGTGCATAAGTACATAGTGTATAAGTGCATAGTGCACCATTTGGGATGCAGCTTATCACTCACAACCGGGTTTTCATCCGCACTAAATTCAATATAGCGTCTAACCTAACTAAAATTGCCTTCTTTTGCGGCTACATGAACGTCGCTTGTGTCTTGCTTCTTTTGCAGCATCTTGCGCATGATACAGTGTTCTGAAACAACTTTTTTTTAAAACCGGTCCACGACTCTAGATGGAGGATGCATTTTTAAATGCAAAAATGTGCCCAGTGTGAATATTCTTTAGGGGCCACTGTGCTACTTTTCCTTTGCTTTTCTTTGTAAGCATGCTCTAGGTTAGATGGATGTGTTTGACCGCTGTTCTCACGTCTATTGCAGCGTCTCACGTACGACACAGCATTTTAAAACGTGGAGATCAATGTAAAAAAGTTAAACAAAACAAAAAAACTCATCTCCTGGCCTTTTTTTCATTCCACTGTCCTTTGTCTCGTGTTTTTTAAAAGCAAAAATGCATTCTGTGTGAATGGCCCCAAACCCTTACGAAAATTAATCATGGTTATTAGGCCTACTACAAATAAAACCGAAAAACCATAGTTACTATATTTTAACCATGGTAACCACAAATCAGCCATGCTTTTGCTACACTAACCATAGTTTAACCATGGTATTTGTAAAACTGTGGTTATACAAATGGTAATCAATATGCCAAAAAAACATGGTTACACTTTTACTATAATAAAACCATGCTAAAATTTAAAGTCGATCTAGCCTGTTTATAGCACTTGAATAACACGTTGAATTTAATGTCAGAGGCATTTCAATGTTACTTTTTAAGAATTGTGTTAACTTGCCACATCTTAATTTTCACAAATTTATTATCAAAGGCAGTCGATATTAAAACAGCCCATTCTTCTAAACGTTTCAATGCTACATTTCTACAAAGCTTTTTCAGATCACTGGTTGGTCACCTACAGTTGAATTTACAGTGATCTTGGACTCTTTTTAATGTTCTAAAATATTATCGAAGGTAAGTTGCATAGGTCAATAGCCTATGTTATTTCTCTTCTTCGTTTCACAAGGGAAG